GAAAGCAGTTGAGACCCAGAGAGAGCGGTGCATGTGCATGAAACCGCCCCACCCTGGACAGAGCGCCTTCCAGGGAGAGGCAAAGACTCAGAAGGTGGCTCAGAGGACACGCAGCGAGGGCAGCAGGCAGACCCCCAGTGGTGGAGGGGGCAGATGTCCTGAGAGAGCAGGACAGAGGAGGGTCAGAGAGCTCAGGGCAGAAAGCAGGATACAGGACTTAGAGGTGCAGAGAGAGAAGAGAGGAAAAAGAGCTGCCCCCTGTGCTGTGCCCGGAAAAAGGCATGGAAAAGGGGACTGAGTTGAAGCAGTAGCTTTGAGCCTGTCTCCCCCTGATCTGTCCACAGACTTGCTTCTGTTCAGAGCAGCTAACCAAGCCAGGCCTGGCCCTTCATCCCGCAGAGCTGATGGGGAACGGCTAGTGTTCCCCAGTTTACAGATGCCACGGTTTTTCCCAACAGGCCTTCTGTGGAATTCAGTAGGAGGTCGGAGTCGCTGGAGTAGACGTTCAACTGATTTCTTAAGTGCGGGACTCGTGGGAGCTGGTCTCGTCTGTGTGATGGGACTGACTGCTGTGCCCCTTCTCTGCTGCAGGTACACTCATGCCTGCTGAGCGTGCGGGCCGGCAAAGACGGCTGGTTTCAGCTGTACAGTCCCGGAGGGGTGGCCTGTGATGATGACGGGGAGCTGTTCGCCAGCATGGTACGTGGGACGGGACAATCAGCGGGCACTGCGGGCGGGGACCGGGTTTGCCCTGCCTGATGAGCGCCAGCACTGTCCCGGTCCGGCAGTGGCCAGCCTGGGAATTTCTGGATGGCATCGGAGCCAAAGAGAAAGATGGTGGTGAAGACGGTGACCAGGAGTGTCGCTTTCTGCCTCTCACCCGAGCAGGCACCAAACCGAGGGCACGAAAGTCCTGTTCTCGCCCCATCTCACTCGGCTCCGTCGGGAGGTGACACGTAGTGTTACCCCGCTTTCCAGGCAGGCAGCAGAAGCCCGCGGCGCTCACTGCCCAAGCTCACACAGCTCACCGTAGTGGCAGCGTTCAGATCGAGCTGCTGAGATCAGGTCGAGCTGCTGAGGGCTCAGAGTGCTCGGAGGTTCTAGAAGGCACTGCAGACCCACCAGCTCGCCCGACCTTTGCGATGAGAAGTCAAGGTCAGGATGACCATCTCCTCCGGGAGACGAGAGGTCTGATGTCACCAGACCCACAACTGGGCACCCGCCGCGATTTCCAGTACTTTCTTCGTGCCGGACACTGTGTTGGGCACCTCATGTGCCCTGTTTCTTCTCGGTCTTCAACTTCATCCATAACCACGCCTGTGCTGAGGCAGCTCCGGACAGGTGCCGTGGCTTACCTGAGGCCACACAGGCTTTCAGCCTCCAGGTCCCTCCCTTGATGGGGCCCACGCTGTCCAGAGCCTGCCCTTCCAGGGGCAGCGTGACCGTCTCCTGACGGGGGGCACAGACTGTCCTCCAGGTGGCCGGTGACCTCAGCTGTCCCTCCTGCTCGCAACACCGGCTGGGTTCTGTGACCCAGCGTGTTCCCAGCGGCGAGAAAACAGGATTCAGGGGGCCTCTCTGCTGCGCCCCCTCGTCTGTAAAACGGGGTAGAGCGCCGGCCTCTGGGATCACCAGGCGCTCGCCTGCAGCGACCGAGGCAGGGCGCCCAGCCAGGGCCTAGCGCACGGCCCGCCCAGAAGTGACAGCTGTGGCCGGTCTTCTCTCTGCTGGGCCGCCCGTCCAACAGGGCCAGCTCGCGAAGCTCTCCGCAGCGACGACAGATCCGGCGCTGCCTCTGGAAGCTTTCTTGAAAGGGACTTATTTTTAGATCGTTTTCCTTACGCGCTGGCTCTCCGCTCCTCACCCACTGCCTGACAAGTCCCTCTTGAGTGCCCTGTGCCTCCTGGAAGTGCACCCCACCTCCCCACTCACGAGGGCTCCTGTGATGTCACAGCTTCACCATGGCAACAGCCGGCGGTCCCCCACCCTGTGTGGCGGGGACTCGGTGTGCGGAAGAACCCGGGGGGCTGGCAGCTTCCCCACCTGAGAGATTGCGTCTGTGCCGGAGTTAACGACGGAGCGGAAAAGATACACGCGGAAAAGGAGGCAGGCAGCCCCTGAGAGAGCAACGCGGCGTTTCCATGGAGACACAGGGGGCAGGAGCGGTCCCCTTGATGAGGCTGCCGTTTCCAACCGTGGAAGGGCATTTGCCATTGCACAAAGGGGGAGAGCACACTAGGCATTTGGGGCCCCGGCCATGTTGCTTGGGGTCCCCTGCCCTCGGGACCCACCTCCAGAGACACCGGAAAGAAACACCGTCGCCTTAGTGTCTGCCCCGCGTGTAGCCCAGGTGGAGCGGAATTTGCCAGTTCCTGGGTTTCTGGGGCAGGTGATCACTGAGCACCTGTGGAGCTCATAGGGCGCTTGGGAAGGGGAGGCAGGGCTCCCTACAGGTCTCTGTCCCACATGTGGTGGCACCGTATCCCCTGAACACTTACTCCCCGTCCCACCCCTGCCCTGGCAACCACTCCACTTCCCGAATCTGACACCCCAGGCCCCTTCCGTGTGCGGAATCCTACAGGATCTGTCCCTTGTGATCGGCTTACTGAGCACCACATCCCCATGGTTCATCCACACCGGAGCACCTGTCGGTGGGAAGAGGGGGGTCTGATGGTCTTTTCAGATCTGGTGTCCAGAGAGGGTGTGGGGAATCCTTCCGGCATGCCACCGGCAGGCATCTCGGGCCACAGCCCCACTGTGGTCACTGCCCTTCACGTGGGCTGTCTCCCGTCATAGGTGCACATCCTCATGGGCTCCTGTTACAAGACCAAAAAATTCCTGCTCTCCCTGGCGGAAAACAAGCTGGGACCCTGCATGCTCCTGGCGCTGAGGGGGAACCAGACCATGGTGGAGGTAAGGAGCTGGCCCGGGTCCCTGGCAAGGCTGCTGTCTTGCCCGGTCCTTCGTCTTTGTTCACTGGGCACCTTACAGAGCCCAGAGCTGTTAGGGCAGCTGGGAGCACAGCGGTGGAGGAGGAAGGTGTGGCCCGGCCTCTCCCAAGTCGAGCAGGAGCGAGAGCCCCCCGCCTGTCACAGTTGGTCCCTTTCACTTACGATCCGGGGAGGTTTCTGCCCATTTGTCTATTGCTGTGGAGCAGGCCACCCTGGTGGGGGGGCTCAAAACAATGGTAGTCATTTATTTGGCTCACGGATCTGGGGGTGACTGGGCTCAGCTGACAGGTTCTCACCCTGGGTCTCTCATGAGGAGACCGGGCCAGCTGGGACTCCAGGCCTCTGTCTATGAAGCAGCCTGGGCAGAAGTATTCCTGTTCCCCGGGGAACACACGCCTGGCCCAGGTCCCCCCTGCCTCATCCTAAAGTCCCCAGAAGCCTGGGGCCCCCAGAGCCGCTGTCCACAGACAGGATGGCAGAAGCCATGTTGCTCTTCCCGGTGCAGCCCCAGAGTCAGGCAGCAGCACTTTGCCACGTCCTACCCACGAGAAGTGCTGGCCAGTAGTCACGGTGATGGGGATTAGAACACCTCTCGGTGGGCAGAGCATCAGAGAACTTGAGCCCCAGAGCATCCCTGCCAGTGAGATTTGGGGGCCAAGGAGTCAACAAGAGGCCCCACAGCAGGGTGAGGAAGAACAGAGGAGGTCAGGATGGCTGAGTCAAGGGGTTGGCGATTTTGGTGGATGGGCCCAAAGAGCCTAAGTGCCCAAAGGCCCCGGTGGGCATCTCGGAGGTTCACTGAGATGCTTGCGCAGGGAACTTGCAGGACGGGGGTGAGCAGGGAGCCAGGAGGCAGGTGAGCCGTGCTGTGAGGGCCTGGGCCGGGCAGGCTTTGCTTGGCAAGTGAGAAGTCGCCGGAAAGGGCTGCCCGCGTGCTAATCCTGGGCGAGAGGGCCGGAGAACAGAGATCGCGTCGGCTCCCCAAGGCTCTGGGAGGCAGTGTGTTGCAGGTGTCCTCCGGGGCTCCGGTTTCATTCTGAGCCTGTCTTGCGCACCAACCATGTGCCAGGCACAGGGGGATAACTAGGGATGGAAAGAGGTGCCCTGTCCTTTGAGCTCTCTCCCAACCCTTGAGGTCCTAGCATGCATCATTTCTTCCCGCATTTGCCGAGAGCCTGCTCCGTGCTCAGCTGGCTGTGCACGAATGTTCCCGTTGTACAGACGGGAAGCTGTGATACGTGATTTGCCCGGGTCACCCAGCCAGAAGGACAGCGAGGGGGGAGCGTGGTTGCTCGTTTGCAGGATGAGATCTCGGGGCACGTGGAGCACGCGGAGCTTATCCGGGACCCCTCCCTGTGGCGAGCGCGGGGCTGTTGGCACGGGCTGAGGTCCAGCCCTCCGTGCCTTCAAGGACCAGCCCTGCTGTAACGCACCTCCGCTGCTCTCGGGCAGATCTTGTGCCTCATGCTGGAGTACAACATCATCGACAACAACGACACCCAGCTGCAGATCATCTCAACCCTGGAGAGCACGGGCGTGGGCAAGCGCATGTACGAGCAGCTGTGCGATCGGCAGCGAGAGCTGAAGGAGCTGGTGAGTCCCCTGCCCGGCTCTGGGGCGCACGTGCGGGCCCGCCAGAGCACAGCTGGGTGCAGGGGGACGGAGCCCGGGTCCCCCGCCCGCACCTGCGCGGGCCTCTGTCTCCGCGAGTCCTTCTCCAGACCCGGAAAGTTCGGGGCTACCACCTGCCACTTTCCAGGTGATCGCAGACGTGTCAGGTCGGTGCCCCAAAGTCCCGGAGCTCCTACGGGGCCTGGCCAGGAGTCGCATCCTGCCTCACCCCAGAGCCCTGCGCGGCAGCCACTGCCTCCCTCCCCGTATCCCACAGGCCCTTCTTTAAGTGCACCAGGGCTGGGCTTCAGAGGGGTGGTGAGCCCACACCTCCCTGGTCTCTGGGAGCAGCTCTCACCCAGCGGCCAATAGGAGACGGTGTATAAATACTCCAGCTCCCTTTCCGCACAGGTGGGACACCTCTGAGACATGACTTCTCCACCATTTCCCAGAGGACCCCCAGCGGCAGCGGTACCATAACGCTCCCTTCCTGGGGGGCCTTCACCGCCTCACTCGCACACTCCCCTGCTGGCGTTTCTGGGGATTCCCTCTCTGATAAACCGGCTGTATTCACACCTTGTCTCGGGGTCTGCCCCCGAGACCGAGACCGCCACGTGGCCTTCTGCCGCCGAGAAATAAAATGGCGCTGTGCGTGATGTCAACGGGGAGGGGGGTGTGCAGGCTGGCGGCCCAGGGGAAAGAACGGGTCGTCATCAGTCCGGTTTCTGTTGCAGCAAAGGAAAGGCGGGCCCACCAGGCTAACACTGCCCTCCAAGTCCACGGTGAGTTGGTTTTATTCTCCTGTGGGGCTGGGTAGAGGGAAGAAGGCAGTTAGATTAGACCTCGCTGATGAGGAACTTTAGCCGGTGGAGCTGACCAAGGACCCTGTGGCACTTGACAGGCCAGCTTTTCCAGGAGGGAACCAGGTTCCGGGAAACCACACACGGTAGATTGTCGCTGGTATTAATGTTAATACGTTACCAGTTAATAATAGTACTAATAGCTAATATACATTGAGCATTTACGTACCGGGTACTAGGCTGTTCGTTTTATCACCACAACAACACCGTGAGGTTGGCGCCTCTCTCCAGCCCCACTGACAAGGTCTTCGGGGATCTTAGTTCCTCCTATCCTGTGCCGCCGTCCTTGACATGAGGTTTCCACCTCGTGGTCCAAAAAGGCTGCTCAAGCCCTGGCCATCAGGTCTCCATTCACACCAGCAGAAGGAGGAAGAGCAGAGAAGAACATGCCCCTTCCCTTTAAGGGCTTTCCGAAAGTTCTCCTGGACACATCTCCCTGTATACCGTTGTCCAGACTCGGCACACGGCCACATCTAACTGGCAGATTAGCCTTAATTCGGTGTGGCCGTGTGGCAGCTAGAATCCAAGGATTCGATCACTAAGATAAAAGGGAGAGCGGACCTTCCCCGCAGCCGCCTGGTAGTCTAGTGCTCACGCGTGTCTTGCCCTCCAAAGGCCTTAGAGGTGGGGGGACCTCAGTGTTCTCAGGCGGGCAAAGGGCCCAAGCTGCTGCCTGGGAAGGGGAGCTGGCCAGGTACACACGTCCGTGTGCACGCACACACGCCTGTGGGAGGGACGTGCCTCGGAGCACCCCAGTCGGTGACTCAGGGTGTGAGTCACGGCACTGGAGGCTTTCTCCCCCACCCACGGGGACGTGGGGGCAGCCGCTCCCAGCACCCCCCTCGGTCCTACCCCCCCCCCCACAAGCCGCACCGTCACCCCTGCTGCAACCGTCTACGGGGCAAGGGAAGGGAGGTGGGGACAGGGGTGCGGAGGGGTCTCCGGAGCGCCTGGCAGCCCCGGGCCTTCCCCGAGAGCCCACCGCCTGTCTGTTTGCAGGATGCCGACTTGGCTCGTCTGCTGAGCTCCGGCTCTTTCGGAAACCTGGAGAACCTCAGTCTGGCCTTCACCAACGTGACCAGCGCCTGCGCTGAGCACCTCATCAAACTGCCTTCTCTCAAGCAGCTGAACCTGTGGTCCACTCAGGTGCACACTGTCTGCCTGCACCCTGCTCTGCCCCCGCCCGCCCCCGCATCCTGCCCCCTCCTCCGTGCCCCTGTGCGCCCCTGCTCTGCGCCCTCCTCTGGGACTGGCCTTCCTGCCTGGAGCCCGGGGCCCAGTCTCCTGATTACCACGCCCCTCCCCAGCTCAGCACCCCCTCCATAGGCCAGAGGACACTTAGGACCTCGTGAAGGCCAGTGGCCGTTTCACAGTTGGAGCTGCTGAGGCCCAGGGCAGGGGCGTGCCCAGCAAAGCCTTAGAAGCCCCGAGAGGCGGGGCTGAGACGTGACGCTGGTCTCCCGCACCCTCCTGGGTAGCACACGGGCAGCTCGGGAGTCTTCCTGTTGTGGTAACAACCACAGCACACCGATGCTTGCCACCCACGCTCGGTGTCGTTTGCACTCCGAAGTGCCTTGCGTGGATCAGCACACGTGGTCTCCACTCCCCACCTGTGACGTGGAGGCCCCGCCAGAGCCCTCCTTTTATAGAAGAGGAACCAGGTGTTCCCGGCAGTCTGCCTTCCAAGGCCCGTCCTGCCCAGGGAAAGGCGGCCTTGGCCCTCACTGGTAGCCGGAGCCCCTGAGTTCAGAGCCCTCCTTGACAGACAGCAAGACCGACTCCTGGGAAGGGCCCTTGGCTGGCCCGCATCCCACCAGCAGAAGCTGGACTCGAACCCCGGTCCGGGGAAGCATTTGAGTCTTTGGAGAGAAGCGAGGGCAGCCCAGATCCCCCGGCTTGAACGGCGGTGGCTCTGTCCCCGTCACCTTCCTCCACCGCTGCCTCCAGCCTCGGAGTCATTTCCCTGAGTGCCGTGGGGACGCGGGTCGATCCCCAGGGCTGAGAGGTTCTGTGCTCCACAGTTTGGAGACGCCGGCCTGCGGCTCCTGTCGGAACACCTCACCATGCTCCAGGTGCTGAACCTGTGTGAGACGCCTGTGACCGACGCGGGCCTGCTGGCCCTCAGCTGTGAGTCCTGCGGGGGTGGCCAGGGTGGGCAGGGCCTGCTTCGTGCATGCGTGCACACATGCATCCATTCATCCACTCACCCATCCACCCATTCACGCGTGCGTGCATCCATTCATTCAACAAGTGCTCATGAGCACCTACTGTGTGCCAGGCACCATTTTAGGTGCTGGGAACACAATAGGGGACATATCCCTGCCCTCATGGAACTTATATTCTAGAAGAAAACGAAACAATGAGTGCCCTTATCCTCCAGATACTTGTCTGAGGGATCAAGTTTGGGAAAAGTGCCCTAGGACAGGCTTGCCCTGCTCTCCTGCCCAGTAGCAGCCATCAGCCGGGGTTAGATGTGCAGATTCTCAGGTCCTGCCCCAGACCTGCTAACTCAGAAACTGCAGTTTAACAAAATGCCCCGGTGATTCCCACGTGTGATTGAAGTTTGAGAAGCATTGCTCTAATAGAAGGAGCCACAAAACACCCAAGGAACCCAGAAGTGCCGATTCCTGCACCCCAACCCTAATCTACCAGAGCAAAGTCTTGGGTGCTGAGCCTGGGAAGCTGCACTGCCCATCTCCCACCCACTGGTTTAGATGACAGGCCCCATGCCTCAGCTGGGAGGAATCATGGAGGGCTTCCCTGGGGAAGTGACCGGATCTGGGTGTACAGGACATACGTAGGAATTGGCTGAGGGGGTTGATACGCTGGGCAGGGGCCATGGCTCCTACAAGGTTGCTGGCAAATTCCAGATGGCTTGGGAGGGATGGGGACAGGAGACAGGGGTGATGGAGGGCAGAGAGGATGAGGTTTGGGGACACTTTTCTGCAAATGTGCTCTTTGCACACTGTCATTGGAGTCACACAGCCCCTGGCTCGGTGCACCCAGGAACGGGATGGAACACCGCACCTCTGATGGGTGGCTCCTGACCAAACCAAAGTTCGAGGCGTGCTTTCAAGAAGGGGGGTCCTGGGTCAGCCCTACTGGGAGAGCTCCCAGAGCTCCCCTCGGGGAAGGGCCCAGCCTGGCCCACTGGGGCTGACCTGGGATGTGGCAGGCACACTCTGGGGAACTTCAGGGTACAGCAGTGCAGGGACCTGACAGACCAGAAGGAAGGGAGGCTCAGAGAGCAGGGAGAGAACGTAAGCCCAATTCAGACCAGCTCCTGCCTGAAACAGACTTTCTGTCCTGGTGGTGCCCTAGCAGTGCCCCTGAAACCCTCCCGCCCCATCTCCTAGACAGGGGCCTTGGCTACAGTAGTCAGCCCCCCAGCTTGACTGTCCCATACCTGCAGCTGCCTTTGTGGGGTTCTCACTGACCTAATGCCTGTGTCTGTCTGTCCTTGCACAGCCATGAAGAGTCTTTGCAGCTTAAACATGAACAGCACCAAGCTCTCGGCTGACACCTATGAAGATCTGAAGGTAATTCTTCCCTTCCTCCCTTTCTCCCTCCCTTCCCCCCTTCCCTCCTTCTTTCCTAGACACCAGTGCTTTGCCCTCGTGGAGCTTATTCTCCAGCGAGAAAGGCTATTGCACCGGCAGATAAGTCAGTAAGTGAAATAATGGCAGGTGGAAAGGAGTGGTAGGGAGGAAGCCAGCAGGGAATTGGCAGCTTAGAAACAGGGAGGGCCTGTTTGGCCTGTGGTCATCAGGGATGGTCCCTCTGAAGTCGCATAAGCCGAGACCTCTAAGATAAGAAGCCATGGATGCAAAGGATGACAGGAAAAGCAAGGGCAAAGGTCCTGAGGCAGAAAGGGTTGGTATGAACTGACTTTGTAGCAAATGTGACTAGAAAGTAAGAGAGAACAGACTTGGGCCGGACTGAATAAGCCCTCATAGGTCACAGAAGGGTTCTGGATTCCATCCAAGTTCAGTAGAAAGCTTTCAGAGACTCTAAGCAATGTTGTGAGTTATGCTTGTAAAGGCTTGTTGTGGCTGTTACCAGGAAAACTGATTTTTTTTTCTAGAGCCGGGGGTGGTCCAAGCAAGAGTAGAAACAGGGAGAACATCAACAGGGCTGATGCAGTCATGGGTTAAGCTCCTGGTCCTGTAGCCTGGGCTAGATTGGCAGTATTTAAAGTTGGGGCAAGAAAGAGGATCTGAGTAGGGAAAGGTGGGCACGTTTCCTGGGGGACTGGTGGAGCTTGACCTTCAGAAGTCTGCTGCCCCCATCACTCTGGGTCCAGTACCAACTGCCCCGGAAGGAGTGAGTGGGGCTGCAGATAAGCCAGCGCTGAGGACGGAAGGGCTGGGCCAGGCAGCCAGACCCACCATGAGACGCCAGCACCTTCACACGCTGGAAGCCACTTGGAAGGAATTCCCACAAGCAGGGACCACCCCTTCCCCGCCCCACCCTCAGCCCTCCAGCTCAGCCAGACCTGCGGCCAGCTTTAGAGCACCTACTATGTGCCAAGCCCAGGCTGGGGACAGGGACAGGACCAAGGTGCATCTGGTTCACCACTGCCCAGGAGGAAGCTCCGTCCTGGCAGACAGATACATGCAGTAACCAGGCCAGGACAGGGCTCAGGGACCAGCAGGGAGGGGACAGGGGACAGCCAGCCCTGCTCACTAGGGCAGAAGAGCCTTCACAAAAGGTCTTGAGAAGGGAATCTGCCGAGCAGGCCAGGAGAGCCGTCAGAGGGTGCTGAGGAGCATGTGAAGCGGGGCAGGGGTGCGGCCGGCGCAGAACCAGCCTGAGTGCACCCTCCAGGGCCTCCCTGACCTGCCGGGCCCAAGTGGGCGTTTCTGCACCGTTGAGGATTACTGTGCCCCCTGAAGGCGAAGGAGCACAGATCCGGGTGCCCTAGCCAAGCAGCAAAGGGGTGTGGTCAGCCCCTTGTGGAGAAAAGCCGCTTTCACACATCTGAGAGACCCCATGGTGCCAACTTGAGCATACTGGCCAGTGACGCCCAACCTCTGTGCTGCGGGCATCGGACGGCCCGGAGGCTGTCTGCCTGCCTGGGGGCAGGCGGCCTGCACTCCACATCAGGCAGGCAGGGCCCTCCAGCTCACGGCCCCGTCTCTCAGGAGAACCTGGAAACCTCCGTGCCAGTTTGCCATCTCCTGATCGGAGAGGTTGGCTTAAAGAAGGTTTTACAGTGCTGCACAGGGGAAGGCAGCCCCCAGTCTGTAGCCTCTGCCTGAGCAGCGGGGCTGGGGGCCCACGAGCCAGAGCGCAGGGGAGAAGCGCGGAGGAGCCTTGCACACGCACGGTAGAAGGTGACACTGGCCGGTGCCCCCATGGAGAGTCTGGAAGAGGGAGGAAAGGGAGGAGAGCCATTAGCCCTGTCGGTGCAGTGAAGGCTTGCGGAGGGAAGGCCAGCTGTTTATAAAAGAAGGAAGAGAGGCGATGTGTCTGGGTGGCAGGGATGGAGAGCAGGAAGCAGGTGTGAACAACAGCAGGTGGAAGCTTGCAGTCTAGACGGTTCCGACGCGGGGGCGTCCTGCAGGGGAAGACTCGCTGCCCCCCAGGTGCCTGCATTTATGGCGATCCCACCGCATTTGCCTGCCCGATTTCCCGTAACGATGGCCTGTAGGCGGTGGTGACGGTGCGGGTGGTTCCCGCCTGTAGGGCACACGGCCTTGTGTTGTTCAGGGCGAGCTGTGCGTCAGGAGGTTCCACCCTTAGCACCGTCCTGTGAGCCGTGGCCTGATCACGCTGGCTCCACAGAGGAGGAGGCCGGGGGCTCTGCCCCCGGGGTCGTGCAGCCAGCAAGTGATAGAGCTTGGGCTCCCACCAGGGCTTTCCGCCTTCAGAGCCAGGCATCCACGGCCTCGCAGAGGCAGGGGGCACGGAATCCCCTGCAGCTGTCCACCCACCTGCGACCTCCGATCCCGGGGCTGCTGCCCTGTGCTCCCCGAGGTTACCCAGCTCTGAGCCCCAGGGAGCCCCGACGGCTAGGTGGGGAGGGCACAGTGGGAACCCCGGCCGTGGCTGCGGGAGAGCCAGGCACCGCCGGGCCAGGTTCGGGAAAGGACTGTCTTCCTTGCTGCCCCGCAGGCCAAGCTTCCCAACTTGAAGGAAGTGGACGTCCGCTACACGGAAGCCTGGTGAAGTTCCCGGCTCGGCAGGAAGGAGTTTGCAGCTGCAAAACACGACTTTTGACTAATAGCCGTAGAGCGCCGGTCCTGGGGTCCCGCCCCCAGCGTCCCGGCTGTGAGATAGATGGGGGAGTCTTTCTGGGGGCAGAGGGCGGAGGGGGGAGGGG